AAGAGGCCAAAAGAAGTTTTATCAGGATTAGAGGTAGCAAAAAAATTCAGTTCTACAGACTAGAACTGGATAATTAAATTGATTGCCCATGAACAGAGATTCCTTTGATTAGTGCCACATAGTGTTATTAATCAAAATTATAGATTAAATTGATTAATGTCACAAAAACAATCAACTAACAGAGATTAATGTTTCTGGTTATTCCAACTATCAATTAATCAAAATATTACCATTATTTTTTGATTAATTCAATTCTATTTAGATTAATTAATTAGTGTCGCAACTCACAAAAATATCAACTACTCAAAAGTAGGGTTTCCAGTTGTTACTATTTTCTATTCTTCAAACTTTCCAAGTAACTGAAAAACTGCCAGTATATATATTTCTTAAGCACAAAGCTATATAATGGGCTCTCTGGTGTCAAAATGCAAATGTTAGCAATACAAGTTTTTTGTTACTTTGATGATGAACACTGCATATCCTTTCTTGCTTCAATATCATAATAACTGATAAGTTGAATTTAATTGATTAATGATCCCATCAATTAGCAAACTCCACTAACTACCTAGTTAGTACTGCAGAAATTGAAGGAAAATAGCCTAAGCAAAACACCAACCTTTTCCAAAATCATGTGAAATTAATGGAAATTATACAAATTGAGCATCAGCACTAACAGCCTAAATATGTTGAGAATAAAAGTTGAAAATGCAGCCAAAGGACACCCTGCACGCAAGAAGCAGACTGCATGAGCAAGGCCTTCAAATAAGGTGTAGAAGTTTCAATATTTTTGCAGGGTATGAAATAACTCAACCCTACATGTTTGTGTGTGTATTGCACCAGCCTATAATGTAATTATAATATAGCTGCAGCCTTCCACCAATAAGTGGGTGACATAACCTCCACATGCAGTAATCTGCACTAGCACATGATCATAGGTTCATTCTTTAGAAGCCAAACAAAATGCACCAGAAGTGGGGTGGAAGGCTGTGCAGAGAGGCAAACCCTATATGAAATGCATTTTCAGGAAAGGAAAACATTAACTTCGGAAAAATTACTTTCCACTCTGCACCAATAACAGATAAAGTTCCACATTGGAGATGGTGAATTCCTGTAGACGGGTGCCCCCCAGGGTCAATCGGCTGGTCCACTTGGGCTAGGTTCAACTGAGTACCAGTGTTGGGCGTTCTTATGGGTGTTGTGGACATCATGTCTGATGCTGGTGTTTGGGTATAGTGCTCACGAAACCCTGGCGTTGCTGCAGTGTCCTTGTTTGACATTGTAGTGCATCCCCTTGTAGGACTCCATGGTGGGTGGGGTCAGTGGACACTGAAACTTTTTTCTTAATTATGGATCCCCCAATCCAAATGAAAAAATAGTAAAAACTCCATTTATTGGTAAATGACCACGCCTAGAAGACTGCACAGCCATCTCCACCACAAGGGGGCCCTGTACCTCGCTTTCTGATCTTACATTCACTATCTGATAAATCTTTAGGGCAAATGTCCCCCTTTTTTATTCAGAAGGGCTTGCTGGCTCTCCAAAGTCAGTTAAGAAACTCCGTTCTGGAGACATCAAAACATCCACAGCTAAGCACAGTGAACTCCTCTTGAATTCAAGGGCCATTGGGGATATACCTATTGAGGTTACTCCCCATGCTTCCTTGAATTCATCACGAGGAGTTATTGTTGAGAGGGACTTGAAGTCTATCCCCGAGTCAGAGATCCTTGCTGGTCTTTCCAGCCAAGGAGTTTCAGCTGTTCAACAGATCTCCACTCATAAGGATGGTATTATGGTGCCGACCTCAGTTCTTATTTTGACATTTTCATTACCACATCCACCAGTTTTCAGTGCCAGTGGTTCAGTCATTTAATGACATCTTGTCGTGGTTCTATGACATGTGCTCGTTGTGGTGGCAAGGACCATGATGCCTATGAATATAAACTGGACCCACACTGTGTTAATTGTAGTGGTTCCCACCCATCTTACTTTAGGTCTTGCCCTAAGTGGGTGGAGAAGAAAGAGGTACAGTGTTTGAAGACCGTTCACATTTCCTATCCAGAGGCTCAGAAGCTATTGTTCCCTACTCCATCTTGGACATATGACACTGCACTAAGCTCCATTGCTACAGTGGGAGTGCAGACGGACCTTTCCGTGCCTCCATCTGAGTGTTTTTCACGCCATGTGAGAGGTCTTCTGCCCTCCATGGTTAATAGAGTTGATAGGTCTATGTCGACTCCAATCTCTGTCCCCACTATTCCTTCCAGTGACTGCCTGGGTCAACCTCCTCGGGCACCAGCCTCTGGTGTCTGTGTGAGTCCTTCTTTGGCCCCTAAAAGCAGGACAATTATTCGATCATGTCCTCAGTCGTTGGATTCTCACACTGATGACAGAGATCTGTCCACTCGATCAAGGGCAGGATCCATGGAGGTCAATCGACCTCCCTCTAGTAAAGAAAAACGGCGTAGTCGTAAACCGAAGGGTTCCCCACCCTGTTCTCCTAAACATACACAACAATGGCCACTTTGATTCAGTGGAACTGTCGAGGTTTTCATACTATTCTCGATGACATTAAGGCCTTGATTGACTCTTATCATCTCATGTGTCTATCCTTGCAGGAAACATTCCTGAAACCTGCTGATATAGTCACCTTTCGGCAGTTTTCTCTGTACCGGAATGACAGGTTGTGTGATGGGCGGGTGCATGGAGGGGTGGCACTGCTGGTCGACCAGCATGTGTCCTCCTTATCTGTGTCCCTCGACACACCCTTGGAGGTCATAGCCATCCGTGTTTCCTTGGGTTGTACCATCACTGTTTGTTCTCTCTACCTGTCTCCTGGGGAGACTTATGAT